ATTATATGTCTCGCACTTTTGTGTTGTCATTCGTTCCAGTGTCAAAAATTTTTTTAACAGAAAAGCATCTGCTAGCAACTCATGTATTTCACCCCCCAAACGAACCGAGCATCTGCAGTAGCGTGAGAAATAAACCTGACGAACAAGATAGTCAAGCTAGTTATTGAGGATTTGAAATTTTGCGCGTATTACAAAACACTACAATGTCAAAAGATCAACCATAATCGTCCACGGTCAGATGCTAAAATGACTAAGTTTGATAAATTTAAACGGATAATGAGAGAAAACCCTGACGCGCAGTACAAATTTTGTGCTAAGTACTAGTTCAGCGTCTTCGAAGCACAACAGTATTACGATCGTACTCGTTAGACTCCTCAAGGTCACGCGTGCTTTATGACCCTGCGGACAGAATAAACATCCAGCTACTTCATTGAAGTGGAAGCTGTGATAATGAAGCCGCAATCTATGTGCTTCACTTTCTCTACCTTGTAGGTGGTCTATATCAAAAATTGTTTTTTCAGTCTTAATTAACAAAGAAAACGTATACGGACTTTGACCTTTATTAGACGCAAGACTATAGCGATGAAATTGCTGTCTCATCTACATCGACTAACTACCAGTAAACCCATCAGAAACCGTTTTATATTGATTAGTCGTTTCGACTTTTGGGGTTTTCTTCAATAGTTCTTTCATGTGTCGAACATGAACACCTCGTTACCTACATCCTCCTCTTTTTCAATTTATTTCACTGAATTATACTTTTTGAATACTTTCATCGATCTCTAACCATCGTTACTGCTAATACCTCTACCTTCTCTACCACTATGGGATTTGAACTGACAATTGCGTCCCTGCATGTAGCACGGCAACCTGACCTTTTGTACTTACGAACCGAGTTCTACGTTGTAACTGACTGACTAACTAATCAGCTCGCTCATTTTTCCCCTCTCAATTGTCAGTCACGCTAGTAAAGTAAGCCAAGTAACGTTTATTATTCTTTCTTTATTTTTCACTCAATAATATCTCATTCTCACCTGGTTTTTGTTTTCACGACTAATTCCTTCATTTAATTGTTTTTAACTTACCATATTCCCTATCTATCCTCCATCTCAATTTCACTATTTATCTACATTACTTCCCCTTTCCTGTCAGCTGAAAACCGATCAACAAGCTAAAGGCTTCTACGTTTGGTGAAAATTGTCAGTGTTAACTGTCCTTGCACAAATCAGTACACCAGATTAAGGAGGTTTCAACACTGGCTAGTGATTTATGTGTAAATGACCCTATACGCGAAAGTGAATCTTATGATTTGTACATGTGAACTATAGTGTGTCAAGTAAATAAAGAGAATCATATTAACCTTTTGATTGAAATATTGATATTAAACGGGTCAGTATGAGGGTTAAGATCAAACCAGTTCTTAATTTCTCTCCAGTAACAGAGCTTGCACCACATTACCATATAATAAATAAGCAAAAAGCCGTCCGAAAGAAAGTATGCTGCCAAGTTGATATCGTGAAGATAGCCAATTAGTTTACGAAAACTACAGTTCACTGCATATACTAGTTCACGTGCATGAACTCATATGGGAAGGATAGACCAAGAAGTACGACCGACCATGTTAGGTGGAGTGCCGAAATAACTGCTGAGCATCAGCTGTCCCGATGTTTTGACAATTTACGCTTTTTACACCATACCATTTATATTTTAAGTTATCACTTTGTATTTATGAACTCCCTTGAGTCAACTGTTATTAATCCTTATTTTGGAATGCTTTGACCAGTTTTTTGGAATCATTAGGAAAATACCTCACATTTTACAGGTTAACATCTTCCCATTATATTACCAAGACCATAATCTGCCACATTGTTAGTTTGAAGCAATTCGGAGACAACCAGAATCCCTGAGATAATTCGTAATTGGATTCAGAGATGTTGTAGACGTCTCAGACACGTCAGCAACAGGCTTGTACTGACAATTGTCGATTTCAGCTTACTAATTGCTTTATGAAAGCACTTATAACGACCCACTGATTTCAGACCAGGCAGACAACCCCCACCTCTGAAAAGCATAAGTAGACATGGAGTGTTTTAAAGGCCAAATCTAATATCCTTTTGATCCTGATAAAAAGACAACCTCTTTGCATTTTCTTTCATAAATCCCCAACTAATTATATATCTCATACTTTAACTGTTTCTCAGATCATTTCAAAGTTTCGAGCGTTCAGTCGCACCACTCTTAAATCAGCTATCGAAATGGTTCCAAACAACTGATTTGATATACAATATACTTATGATTTACGTTCTCTAATAGTAATGACAGCCTTGCCCAACTTGAACAATATCCAACCAAAATTAACATGGCCAAAGTATTACTGTACGCTCAAAGAAATTCAGTCGGTCTCGCCCTTTATTTCCCTTCATGGATATGTATACTGCCCGCTGTGCAGAAACCATTTAGATAATGTTCAGTTTTTAAAGCATATCTTATCGCATTTGTTGATGAATGAACTCGAACTTGGTTCACTGATGTCTTTCGTTTTCTGCACAGAGTGCCTCTCTGTGCCAAATGAAATCACAATGGATTTCCACAGCGGGATTCACCGGCATGTAGAACAACATACACCTCTAGCCTTGTTGGATGGTTGTCTTGTATGTCCTATTTGTGAAAGCTCTTTTACATCACTTATAAAGTTTGCTGTACATCTATATGAGAGACATGTGTATCTAGACTCGCCTTACGTATGTACAATATGCTACGGATTCAGATCATCTTTTTACTGTGAATTAATATCCCACTTTCGAGATTGTCACCATAGAACAAATCATATATTTTGTCCATACTGTCTGAAACATTTCGAACTGCCTGTTCTTTTGAGTACAGATGTAGGACTGCATACATTTGATGCACAGCCGTTTTACGTTCATGTTCAGCAACATTGGGAGCAAACAACGTATCGATGTAATTCCTGTCGCCTCGACTTTACAAATAAGAAGGATCTACAGTGGCACGAGTATTTACACCATTCTGGACATACTCTACCAGAACTTAGTTACGAAAACTACAATGATGAATTCTCACCCCACTCAACCAAAGACCAACTGTCTGTTTTCTACTCAAACCGACTATTCGCGCACACACCCCGCATAAGACTAAGGTGTCTGGAATGTGGAGAGTATGTGCGTCATCCTGTACACAAGCATTTCAACATGACGCTACATTGTGCTAGTTGCAAATACTCCACATCATGTAGCGTTGCGGTCAATTGGCATTGGAGTAAGGTCCACCGTGCGCCACCCATTCAGCAGACTTCTACCCTTCATGAAACAAGGTCTTGGCAAAAGCATATTAGCACTGCTGCACATCACGAAACAATTTCACCTGGCCCTCTGAGTGCTTCCTGTTATGACTCATGTTGCTCCTCAAACACACATATAAAACGATGCAAAAACGACCATATCCCTGCAGGTCTATTTGCCGGAGGGTACTTAAGATGTAACTGCGGTTTTCGCACAATAATCTGCGACCAAATGGCCCGTCACTTGACAACGAAAGGACATGATTTTGCCAAGCTTACCTATAGACCCCGATTGTCATCGTTCTCAATTCTCTCTCGTCCTGGTAAAGCTCTGCGCACCTCCTTGTGGTGGCAGGAGAGGATGACCAACACACCTCACTTTTTGAACTCTGTGGGACTATCCTAATAAACGAAACAAAGTCGATGCCTTCTATTTTTGGTTCTTTTTGGAGACTTCAGATCCTTGTAAATGTTTACTCCACTCGACGTATGTTTAACACAATGCGTAAAAACCTCAATGCCTAACATCCTAGCTAGCATCAGTTGTATGTGGACAAATTAATAAACACCAGCATATCCACCAAGCGGTCATACTGCAGAGCCAATTAAGCTTAACTTTGCGGCGACTACTGCCACATCACTGGACCGCCTGCTAGTAATGTGCTACGTGTGACTGACACCTACGTTGTCTACTATATGATGTACTATCAATCCGGTCGAGATGAAACTCGGTGCAACCCGGTAGGAGCACAGTTTACCTACTGGGTGCCCAAAGACAACTAAGTTAGTTACAGAGTTAAGACCTCGTGATCTGTCCATGTCTTAGCCCAGAATGTTAGCTAGTCGACAAAATCTCAGTCATTAGGTTTCTCTTCGAGCAGCGGGGCAAAGATCTGAGTCGATACTGGAGTCGTACCGGTCAGCGTTACTAAGTGTCTTGCACATGATTAGTACTCTAAAGTAACAAGAACTCACCATGTAGCATATTTGTCCCACTGCTCCTTTAAAGGTATTATCACACTATGTTTAGGATTCGCCAGACCCGCCTACTACCTGGCGAAGTACTCAAGTCGTCTTAATATTCTAACCGAGACGCAGAAGTAAACTCAGTTATGCAAGTCCATTTGTGCGCATAGTGTCGATAACACTTGAGTAGCGTTGCTTCTTAGTTCGACAAGACCATTTACCAAACTCTACAGTCTCGACATACCGCTACGAAAGCTAACTTGTCCTGAATGCCGAACTGATGAGCCAGTTTTGCCTGACATTTTCACGGTAGCGCAGACAGTTCTGCTATTTACTTTATAAGTAACTATTATGTTGGCCGCATGTGACACCCCGAAAAATTAACAGAGCTAACGGAGGCCCCATTTCCATAAAACTAACGTTGGGTAACCGATATTTATCCAACTACCCACGAAAAAATTACAGACCACATGTCTTTCCTAGCGTGCTTTTGATAGGTTAGGCATGGGTGGAAAAAATACTGCCTCCTTTCTGAAGACCCCAATTATTACTTGCGTAGAAGGAAATTTGTGTAAACACAGATTACATTATAAATTAAGCACCAAGAACACAAAATACTTCTACATTCACCGTAGGCCAGAACGACAGTTTCGACAAAAAGGCATCGATGGAGGGTTCGGAAAACCACATGACCTAAAAATGTAAGATGACAAGTATACAAAGTAAGTTGAGGTAACGCGAACTAGTCAATGAATTTTCATAATGAAATTTAAGCTCATTATTGATTGCAAGGAAATATGAGAGCGATTAAGTGAATTGGTCAGTTCCTAAGCATTATTACCGTAAAATTTACTGTTAATAGTGAAAATCAAGTGTCGATTAGTTTTATATGTAAAAATTAAAATGGAAAAGAAATACGATAAAGTTTTACATCAGAAATAACCGCAAAACAAGTTTACTTGACTTTCTTACGGCGCCGACCCCCGAGTCTTTGATACACAGATCAAACCCGCAAAGCAGTGGTAGGCGATGGCTAATGGCGACTTCATACGCAATGTTCCCTTAGGATCCTTGAGCCAATGTGTAACACTGGTTCAAACACCACTACGTCAGTCAGTCATCTTTCACCTCTTCTGAAATGCAGCCAGTGGTAGCGTAGGAAGAAACGACAAAAGGGTAACGGCGAGTGTCCTCATCTTTCCAAATCCTCACTGTTACGTTCAGTCGGTCAGCGAACAAGCCACTATCTATTGGGACCCAGTGTAGGAGAGCTAGTTCTGCTCTACAGACAGAAACAACGCATAACTTCGTACGTCAGTACATCAGTTCAGGTTGCCATACCACATTAACACATAGACGCAATTGTCCATTCAAATCACATAGTGGTAGCGATAGTAGAAGTATTACTGGTAATCGAGAAGACTAGGGTTCCAAGATATCATTCAAGAGGTATAATTCAGTGAGATAAGTTTAGAAAGACAAAAGTAGAGGTGTTGATAAATCCAGAAAACTAGAATTTGAAAGAACAATGAGTGGATGAACATAAGCCACTGCAAATGATTTTCAGCCATGTCGTTCACGGTCTCTAACCATTGGTAACTTTCGTCTTGCGGACCCCAACCAGGTAGTCAACACTTACCAACATGAGTCAGTCCACTTGTCAGTGATTTCATCGATTTTTGCCATGTTTTGGTCTGGCCGCCTCTAACTTTCTCCCAACCTACTCCTACACCACAAAACATCGTTCGTCGAGGCAGTCAATGGTCGGGCATTCGTAACACACGTCCTAACCACCTCAACTGATGAAGTTTCAACACTTCATCTATTGATCTGCCTCCTTACCTAGTACTCGCTTCCTTATAGTAGCATTGCTTATTCGGTTGTTCCAGGATATACGAGCAATGCTTCGAAGACACTTGTAGTCGACAACCAGTAACTAACGAATAGTCTCTACTCTTACCGGCCACGTTTCGCATCCATAAAGGAGAACGGAGCGAACTGCTGAACAGTACACTCGCCTTTTAGTCAGCAAACAGATATCTCGCCTACGCCATAAGTGACACAAGTCGGCAAAAGCAAATCGAGCTTTCTGTATCCCTGCAGAGATTTCGTCAGTTACCAGGCCATCAGCAATGATGAGACTCCCAAGATAAGTGAGATGATCAACACGTTCGACTACTTCACTCCTTATCACTAGTTCAGGTGCCGATACAACCCAGTCTTGAAGCAACGTTTTGCATTTCGAGGGGGGAAACCGCATCCCGAATATGCTTGCATTGTTGCTTAGAGTAGTCGGGAGACGATATTTTGTCAGCGTCTTCACCAAGTAGAACAATGTCATCGGCATATCCTAAGTCATCCAATGATTCAACTGGTAAAAGGTCCACCCCTGAAGAGTTTGACGAAGATAATGTTATATCTAAAAGCATGTCTATAAGAAGATTAAACAAGAATGGAGAAAGTGGACATCCCTGACGGACACCACTTGAAGTAAAGAATTCCAATGACAGTTCACCATAAGCTCTCACTCGACTTGCAGTGTTCGAGTAGAGAGCTTGTATGAGGTTAATGTTTTTATTTGGTACACCTTTTAGTGACTAGACACTGCCACACAACCTCACGTTCGACAGAGTCGAATGCCGCCTCAAGTCAAGGAAGACAACTATTCTAGGAAGCATAAATGTGTGTCTGTGTTCCAGGACATGTCGTAATGTGAATATCTGGTCTATACAGCCACGTCCAAGTCTGAAACCAGCCTGGTTTTCCCTAGCCTGCACTTCACTAGCTCAAGTTAGGCATCGGAGTATATTCGGAGCTAACAATTTAGACACTATATTGGTTAAGTTGATCCCTCCGTGATTATTATGAGAAGACTTTTGTCCTTTCTTATATATTGGGACAATCAAGGATTGAGACCACTCGGATGGAATGACGTTAAGTTCTACCTAAGATCTCAGTCAATCTAGCTGCTAAAACTGGACCACCATCCCTAAAAATCTCAAAGGTCAATCTGTCAGGTCCTGCTGCTCTCCCTCGCTTCAGATTTCCTATAGCTTTCTCTACTTCATAAAGACTAGGAGGGCTTACGTTGACTTGCCATTCAGGAAGATTGGAGATCGTGGGTAACTGAAGTGTGGTTGAAGGCAGACTGAACTGATCCCTAAAGTAATCTCTCCATCGATCTAATTTCCTGGATTGAGAATGAATAATAAGACTATCCTTTCCCGAGATAGTCTCACTTACAGTCGGATTTCTAATACCGGTTTCCTTGATGAGTCTGAATAGTTGCCTACTGTCGCCTTCTCCATCTCCTTTGCTTTCGCTACCCACCACTGTTTGTGATCATTGAGTACGCTTTTTATCAGCCTGCGCTTAAGCTCACTCCGCTCCTCATCGCACCCAGAGCCAGGCGGGCTGAGTTTCCGAGCATCCATCAGTTCGGTAGATTCTACTGAAATCCACGGCTTCTCCCTAACCTCATGGTTTACCTACCTTACTAGCAGATATCACTGCTGTTTCCACAGCCTTTTCGATATCATTCCAAGCTGTCTCAGGCTGGAGATAACTTACTACATGGCTGCCTAAATGTTTTTCTAATTGTTCCTGGAACATATTCTTAGCTTTATTATCATTAAGTAGAGCCCTAACAGGTTTCCTAGCGATATATTTCCTACGAAAACAAATACGCGCTCGCACTAGAGCATGGTCTGAGTCTAAACAAGTGGTCCAGAATGACCGGTAGTCTTCAATAGAGCATCTCCACTGGTGGCTGATAGCGATCTAGTTGGGTCCAGCGTTGAGACGACTTTGGGGATTGCCAGATCAAAAGGTGTTTTTCCTTATGCTTAAATTTAGTGTTTGCTAAGAATGGGCGGTTATCTGAGCATAGTTGCAGCAGACGGTCGCCATTGTCTGTTTTATTAGCCGCGACATCATAAGATCCACCCAGGTGTCTTTCCTTCACACCTAGTCTACCAACTTGAACATTGAAGTCATCGGCCATTATAACTAAATCAGGCGCTTAGCTTTTTGGAGGAGGTCCGAAAGCTTTCTCTAGAACTCATCTTTCAACTCGTCTGAGCTGAAGTCAGTGGGAGCGTGGGCAGAGACAACGAAGAGGCAACGGCGAGTTTCCTTATCTTTCCGAGTCCGTACAATCCCGTTTAGTCAGACAGTGCATAAGCGACTGTCTACTGGGATCCAATCTAAGAGAGCTTGTTCTGCCGGACGACTTGAAACTATACCTACGCCAGCCAGGCCACGGGAAGCAGCATCAGGGCTACCGGAAACACGAAGTGTAAACAGTGTTGTTTCTCTATCTGCACTAGGTGAAATCTATTTGATGATTTTACTCGGATCTTGTATGCGCGTTTTGGAGACGCAACATTCATCGATCGCCCGGGATTCCAGAGTTCTACCTAAGGAAGCCTGTTGCCCCATTTGACACAATGTCCGAACATTAAAAGCTCCAATATGTAATTTAGTACGGGGTTTCAAGAGACCAGGACTAACGTTTCGTGAACTCGCATCGTTTGCATTAGCGGTGCAGTGTAAACAAATGTGAGAGTCAGTCGTTGAGATAAAAGAGAGGTTAGGGGTGTAGGTAGGATTTGATTTTGAGCAATTTGGTCTCGCGTGCTGTTACGGGTATGAGGGCAGTTGTCACTTCCCGGCTGCCCACACCGTGGAACGGTGTTTCTTGAGGAAGGTAGATTAGTGTCGGTTTTAGAGACCTGGGTGCGTGACCGAAGAGCCCAAGGGATAACTGCTTGAGGCCGGTCACGCATGACCTTTTTATGAGGTTTTTTGAGTATTAGATCCGCTCTTTTCAAAGCCCTTATTGGGCAGTACTTACCGACGGAGACAGAAATCCGTGAAGTAAGGTGAGACGTGACATTTTTAGGGTCGGCCTTTGCTTACCCTTTCTTCCTTGTGAGAAGGTAGCATCGCTGCAGATGCTGGTTGTCCGAGGGAAACATCTTACTGCAGTCACACCCCTCTACAGTCAGCAGTACGACTTCGCCCTCAGACCTTGAGTAGCTGCTTTCAGTCTTACCGCTTTTTGATCGACCTGCCTGGCATGGTAGAATCTACAGAAACATATGTTCCAGCTCGGTTGGGTCATCACGATAGGTAAGCCCGACCAACACGTCAAGATAGCAGCTACGGTCGGGGTGGGTCATTCGCAATCACCAATCCAATTTAGGCGCCGGACATCCGCTTTTCGTCTTTTAAATATCGTAAACAGCACCTAGGCAATGAAAAGGCAGTGATTAGGGCTTTCCTCGAAGTAGCGATAAACGTTTCGAGTGTGGACTTTACGCTTCTGACCTTATTAAGGCTGTTAAAAGTAGTTGTAAGAAAACAAGCAGTTTCAGACACTTGTGTCTCATTATTCTAATTAATTTTGATAAACTGACCGATACGTACAACTGTTATCTACCTTTATTATCTAGCAAAGAGCAGAGTTGTGAAATATTTGAAACTGAAACCAGTCACCTAATGCATTCAAAACGTTCTTGCATTAAACCCAGTTAATTTTAACCACTAGAATAACTAGGTTGACTGTTCAGTTGCAACAAATACCCAGGCACTATACATATATTGATAAACTTCTTACCTGCAGTTATTCACATTTGGTCCTCCAGGACCGCCAACACGCATCCCTAATCCAATCCCACCCATTGGATGTCCACCGGGACCGCTTGGAACCATTTGCCAATTTGGTGGTTGGTTATGAGGTGGTTGGATGTTGTTTAAAAATCCACCACCCATAGTTTGATTGTTACCGAGCATTCCTGGAGGGTTTGATGGCATACGTTGTGACATGGACTGTGGTGGCTGTTGCAGTTGAGGAGGTACTATAGGTAAACGCATGCTGACATTTGGTTGATTGTTGGGAGGAGTCAGTACATTTGATACTTGATTATTAATATTCAAACCAGGTTGTAGGAGCATAGCTGGAGCCCGTGTAGGTGTGGATGTTGGTGGCATAAGCCGTGGGTTCGACACAAAGAACGGCAAACCACCAGGCGCTTGTGAGCGAGGAACATTTGACCTTTGTTGCTAGAAATGAAATGATAAACTAGAATAAAATGGCTTTTTCAAATGCGCTAACGTGACTGGACTTTTCAAAAACCACATATGTTTACTATTACGACTAGTGAAAATTTAGAGCACAGTTTATGAATAGTATTTTATACTGTCTATAAACTCGAAGCCCTATGTCTCACAAAAATTCTACATAAAATGGTAAATCGGATGCACAAGAAAAAAATTCAAAACGACTTTCCTATGACCAACTAACACGCTTTAGATGTAATGTATGCTTCTTTAATACTCATATAAAGACAGGTAAAGTTAAATGGTAAATAATAGAATAACCTACGTATGATGCAATATATTTAAGTTTTAACTTAATAACAGACCCCTGAACTACAAGGTGAACTGATGGGGTTAAGTATAAAGACAATACTAACAAGATATCTTAGTGACAAACGTCAAAACTCAATGTGCTACTGTATGTGAAATAGGCTTTTCGTAGTATGAATTCAAATCATAAACCATGGGTCTCAAAAAAGGAAAATGTTTGAAACCAGTTTCAAATTATTTATTGTAAACTTCAAATTGTAAAAGAAACAAAAACTGTATAGAGTATTAGGTAACGTATTAGCATGTCATCATAATGTTATCATTTAACAACACGTAATTACACTTCACTTATGAAATAATTTCAAATCAAATAAAAATTGTAGTACGTCACTGCAGGGATGAATAGTCTACACGGTGTCTATTTATTAACAAACTACAAATCATAAGGGAGTTATTATTTAAAAAATTGTTCTATGTATATCTAGCATTTTTCTAGTAAAATACAATGAAACTGCTTAAATACATCTTAACAAAAAACAGGACCGTAAGATAGTAAAACGCTAAACATTGGAAATTTCAACTAAATATCTTAAATTCTTTTTAAGTACAAAACTATCAACATTTATTTCAAAATTATAGTCCTGTAGTAAAAATACACAGCAGAATTACCTATATAAATTGAAATAAAAAACTGGGTGCTTCACACTAAATAAATTAACAGTTATTCATTAAAAAACTCCTTAAAAACCACTAAGAACTAGCTAAAATAATCGAAACTGTGAAGCATTGTGAACTAATCTCTTAAACACTTTAAGACTGACATGCTTACAATAATTTCTAAATCATTTCAATCTTACTGGTGTGTACTGAGGATGTCGAAGAATTCGCTGAGCACGCTTCTGATTCTGTACATTAGCTGCATTGGAAAATGTGGACCAATTCGGATCTGGGGCCGTCGGATTGGTGTTGCGAGCTGGAGTACCATTGAGCTTAGCTGATTTAGGGGTGTCGCCCTCATCATCGACTAAGCGAGGCTTCTTTAGTGGCGTAGAAATTGAGCTGGGGAACGGTGTAGTACGTTAGTAAGAAAGTTAAATTTCCAAAAACCCAAAAGATCACTAACTTTCAGTTTATTAGTTTGGTTAAATAATAGAATTATCATAACAATAAAATGAATTAAACTATAACTGAAAACTAATTGAATGCTAGACTTCTGGCCCTATATCTGAACTAAATTAAATATTTAAAAAGAACTGCTATCTATAATAAAATATTACTCGATTACCTATGTACTACGCACGATAAATATTATTAAGTAAACACGGTGACTTACACTACTATGCGAACGAAAAAACAGAACCCTTAGGATGCAAAGCAATCTAACCTAATACCTATGAAATGGCCTATTCGTTATCAGCTTACTCAAAACAATTACCATAGCTGCTAACTCCAGGTTTTATATTAAAATGTACAAGGCTAAACTTATTCACTAGGATCGAGTTAAAATTTACAATGGTCTAAATATGACTAATTTACTAACCAGATTAATTAAAACACGTTTATAAGAAATTTTGTAACAAAGGTTAAAAAAATCTGACAATGAAACCCTTCTTACCTAGCCACCTCTTCAGTGGGTTGAGGGCCTGGTGATTTTGGTTTTGGAGGAGCTATAAGTGATAAGGAAACATTCAACTGCTTGAGGGAGATGTTAGAATGTTTAATTAACAGCAGGAAGTGGTATTTAATATGTCAGTAAAGCCTCTATACATTAACTGTCTAAATAATAGATGTAGGAATGAATTTTAACGTTAGTCAAAACTCTGTGGTGTATCAAATATAATTTCTCAGAAACTAAGTTTTTTTCACAAATAACAATACTGGGAAATCAAGTGAAGAGTTGATAAAGAATGGTGTGAAGACTTAAAAAAAACTATAGAAGCCTGAACTAACAGGAGAAATTCGAAAATGTCTAAACGATTTGACTGATAGATCTTGCAAAGTATTTGAACATAATTTTTAAACCTGAAAGAACAACCTTAATGATCTGCAAGAACATAATCCACTGAGTTTTATTACCTCAGAGCATTATCATTACAACGCTATGAGAAAAACCGCAAGGAAATTTATTTAGGTTTATAGAAATTTGTCTTCAATTCCTATCAATCACAATGACCAGATATAATTAAATGTAACGAAGCGAACTCTTATTTTGAATTATTGACATATGATACCTAAAAAACAAAAAAGTTTTGATATTATATGAAAAATAATTTTATATATCACTAAAAACTTGATATACCCCGGATTAATGAACAATCTGCTGTTAAATCAAAGTTAAAATATCAAAAACTTATAACGCTATATAATGCAAAAGAGGTGAGACTATGCAGTAGTGGATAATTTTTTAGTTCTTTTAATATTGCTGTATCACTTCAAAGAACAATAAAAAACGTTTATGTATAAGTATTGCAAGCATAGTCATGAAATAGTATGGTCAACTAAGGCCTAGAAAAAGATTTGATCGATACACAGTAACTTTTAAGTATATTTCAGTTGATAATATCAATGCAACAGAATTCTAAATACTTCAAAACTGCTTAATGACATGCGAGACAAAATAATTACTTCTAGTCTTATAATCTGAAAATTAAACTATTAATACATGGGATGAACTGAACTACAATGGTAAAAAAGGTCATATGGGATAACCCACATGTGCAATCGTTAGTGAAGTAATGAAATAAAACTAGTGTAAATCCTAGTTATTTTAAGCATATTTTACAGATAGAATTGCAAATGAAATCCTACGAATTTACCAGCTTTTTACACCAAACCGACTTAATCTACTGATGAAATAAAATCCGACTGGCTACACCTAAATGTATGGATAATACTTTATAGAACTAAAAATGGTTTAAACCCATAGATACATTTTATGAATATAACTATAATGACTTACTACTAGTGTACCAGGTAAAACCTACAGTATTTAACATATTACAACAGTACTAAAATAAAGTCAACTTAATGATATTTGATGTATTAATAGTGTGATTATGGAAAGAGTAGTTAGTTAAGACATCACCCAGAAACAAAGAAAAGTTAAACAATTGAGACAGGTTATCGAAAGCGGCTTAGGATGTTTAGGAAATAAATTGGGACACCTATCGGAATCTTTTAACTAAATTTACAAGCATAACCAATACCACTAACTGATTTGATGTGTACTGTTTTGCACGACGAAGCAATTTATTGGAAATCATAGTTATATTATGGTCACAGTCAAGGACAAACAACCTAGTACCACAAACTAGAAACCACAAAAAATTTACGACTACTACCTTATTATTTAGATATCTTTCAGTCTTCTTGAAAGCTTACGATAGTTAAAGTCTAAGATAAGTAGCGAATTGACTTACCAGACAATTCATTTTCTTCTAGCAAGACTACGTAGTCCGCAGATTCTGCATTTTTATGCTCATCTTTAATATATGTCATCTGAAAGTCAACAAACGCATAGCCATTGCACAGTTTTAGAGATGTTAAATGATCCACATAGCGAGTTGCACATAGTTTTACGTCTGAGTCATCAAAAAAGCCACTAGCAATAACTTGAATTTCGGGGAAGGATTCTTTCACCTGAGTGGCGATGTCCAAGATCTCCTAAAACCAACATAAGTGAAGTACAAAAAATACCTTTGCGCTCAAACCAGTGAGTAATATATCTGCTCCAGCTCCAGCGGCTAAACAAGCTTCATCTAACCTCGAGCAAGCAACATGCACAGGAATAGAGCCAACCCTAGAACGGACTTCATCGACAGCCTAGGAAAATTCAAAATTACTTAGACTACATACATTTTTGAGGCTCTCGGAGTCCATATTTTGGCAACGCACGCTAACCGATGACTTTCGTTCCGTAACTCCTGATATCATCATCGCGTATTCTTCTACAAGACCAAAACCCGGCGTCCTTCTATCTGGCATATATATTGTCCCCTTCCATGAAACTTCTTGCAGAATCAATTGAATCCTACGTTATTAAGTAAACTTTGACCTTAAATTACCTGCTAGCCAAGGTCGCTATGCCACTGGCTCTTGAAAGTACCGAAATAACCAGGTTTTCGCAAAAGAATATATCTTCGTTAGCTCCACTAATCGTAGCAACCCTCACCGGACAGGACTTTACTGTCTGACCTTCGCACACATGCCATTCTATCTCGCAACTGCTCTCTTTCAGTATTGCGTCCACAAACGGCATCCCAACGATGATTCCTACTTGGTAAGCTAGGAAGTAAACTACTTACCTGGACTGTGCATATCAATGTACACTTTGCCACGTCCACTTTTTGGTGTAAGCCCTACATAATTCAAAGATGACTCGTTAGAAAGCCACCAAGCTGCCAAGGCTTTCACTGAATTCTTGTTGATCACCAACGGACAAGCCATCTTTGCACTAGCTCAAAATATAGTCAATGGCGCCTGGTCGTGATGACTGAAACAAGAGTTAATCGGCACATTAACTATGCCCTGAAACAAATGTAATTATATCAAATCTAGCATTTCTATCATGAACTAGTCCTAATAAATTCACTTCTTGAAATTCAAACTTTCGAAATACTGGTGCGACCTAAGAGCCACCGTTGAGTTCAATAATATGCAAGCCACTCGAAAGGTTGTGATGTAACTATGGTAAAACTTCTGTGTTTAATGTTTTTAGTATGAATGCTTTCTATTTTCATTACAGGGCAAACAAGTGTGTCTCCGGGAAGATAAAGAAGAACAAGGCTTGCGTAAACTGAACGTGCAAAATGATTTGTGAGACTATTTTATAAATAAGTTTTCCCTTTTTAACTACGTCGACGTAATTCAATTTTAAATAATATATTCTGTTATCTGACTCTCAGTGTTCTACCCCCTTGTGGATTCCCAGAGAAACGTTTCTATGCTGTGATTCTAGGTCTTTCCTGCCTGTCAATCAAGGACGCAAATTAATGAGGCAACGGTGTAGCTGCATTACTACTGGACACCGAATATACCTGTGGCTCAAGTAGGATCTCAGAAACTGTAAGTCAACTTGCAAGCAGCAAACAAATAACAGAAAATGACCTCCCAACCATCGATTTGATTCGACATTGTAGCACTTTTTTGTAGATTTCCCCCAGAAAAAGCAGAAAACCGTGCAACATCCTATTGACAACGGTACCCTTGTGTCCCTTCGTCAGTCACCTTGCAGAGTACATTACTGACCTCAACTGAAGTCGGTGATTAGAGAGAGGCTAGAGGGTTGACCACAGTCCCTTCGTCATCACCCTGGGCCCCAACAAAACGACCCCTCTCAATGAGTATGT